CCCCAAAACCCCAAAACCCCGTGCTTCAACATTGAGACTAGACATTAGGCATTCTTAATAAATCTTACTGAAATTAAATATTTTTACCAACTTATACATTATTCGCTTACTTTTCTATGCTTATGCTTCAAACTATCTAGTCAAGAGTTAATGCGAATGATCGTTTTCAAATCTTTTATTTTTCCTATTTCTCTATTGATTTCATTGCACCCAACTTCATCAAATTGTTGTAATTGATTTTAATCTTAACTTTAATGTTTTCTGCTTCCTTTTTACTCTACTGTGTTCCCTAGTTGGCTTGGAAGAAGTTCTCTTAAGATTTGGAAGTCTACAATTTATGCTGATTTGTTGTTCTGCTTGCTTATAAAGCTTTCTATTAGAATTGTGCTTGGATTTATTTCTAGTGCCTTGTGGTAATGTTCTTCATTTTTGAAGGAGTGCTATCAACAGACTCAGTAGCTGAAGTCTAAGTTGTTATTGATGGAGTAATCAGAATGCACTCTTTTACCTAGACTGTTTTAAGATAACTCTTCTTAGAACTAGAAGTATTTTGCATTGCTGCTGGTGATTACAATGGGTAGTTGTGTGAGTCATTAGATCTCATTCGTTTAACTGGAGATTTATTAGGAGTATTATTCTGTGATTAGTTCCAGCAGTCGATCTTGCTTGCCACTCTAGAATATTTAAACTTCAATTTATTGTAGTACTGCTCCTGTCCTTATATGCTCTAATTGTTGTTGTTTTCATTTGGTTTATCATTAACGAATCTATTCTTAGAGAATACTCTTTGGCTTTGCTATGTACTTACTTGTGAATTTCTAAGACTGTTGTCTATCTTCTCAGAAGCAATCATTGAATTTTACTTTGAAGAAACACCGCAATCTGAATCTAAGTTAACTACTCCCTTATGTGCAAGCACCAGTCTTTTTTGCTAATCTTTGCCAGTTGATGCCTTCTTTTAAAAATTGATCTTAACCTTAGACTAAGAATCACTATCTCCGTCCTATTACATTTTAAACAAAGCTGATGAGTGCTGCTTATGATACTTCTCGATAACACTTTTTCTTGCCTCTCTTATCAAGCTTTCATCTTCTATTGTATTAAGAGAATTATTGTGAAGGAAGGATTGACTCTTTTGCTTGGTGAGATGTTATGAAGAAGACTAATGGAAGCTATCATCATTGAGTTTGATGTCAATACTGCGCTCCCTCATGCTTCTGTCTCTTGAACTGCTTCTCTCAAGCCTCAGTTTCTTGAACTTTTCCTTTTCTTGCTCATAGATTTCCTAGAAGCTGATGACTATCTTTTCAACATTAGCTTGTTCCTATTCCACGAAAATGTTCTGCTAAAGTGGTGATTGCATCAGCTTACAATTCTGATAAGATTCGTAGAACTTAACTCTGTTCTTACTTTTCTCAGTGTCTGTACCATTGGATTGAACACTGTTATATTTTGAAAGTGCTGGAATCGTTGCCTCATCTTGCAATTTATACTACCTCAAGTATTGATCCTCTGGATTGTCAATTCTACTTGGAGAGGTTAAAGTATTGTTGCCTAGGGTATCATGGAAATTGTTGCTACTCTTTAGAATTGTAATGTGAACGTCTTCTTAAGAAGAAATATTTTCATTTGTAGAGTTATTATCAGCAACTGATTTATTATTTCTAAGTCTAGATCTCATAAGTTCTCTTTTGCGCTGCTATATATTATCGCTCATTTTACTTGCTCTGTACCATTAGTTAATTTTAACTAGTTCGTTAAAGGTATTAATGAACAAGTCCTTCTTCCTTCTGTACTAGAGGTCTAATTATTTCACAGTATAAGATTCAAGATCATTTGTGGTCTCGTCTTGAGCAGTTATCAATTCCTTGTGAAGCTGATTTATCTTCAAAATGAGATTCTTAAGTCTCCTACCTCCTAGAATTTTTCTGATCTTAAATCCTTAAAATACAGCTCTCACCCGCTCAACAGGTAAAATAAAACGGGAGAGAGAGTCGTGATGACTAGCATTAGCACTGTGTGAGTTTGAGCTCTTCACACTCCTCTTAAGTAATGATGAATGATCGAGTTATGGTCTCTCGCAAGGCTATGGAAGGTAGCTAAGTAATGGAGCATCTTCAATCTAAGATGATTTTCGAGAACTGGTTGAGAGTGGTGCTTCAAATATCTATACTTTATGCTAAATAGTTGATTCATTATGAGGATCACATTGATCTTTGATTTCTTCCTTATAAGAACTTATTTGCTACTGAAAAGTCACAAAGTTATCTGCGGTTTGAATCCTTGTGCCTCTCTAAATATCTTAGGTTTTGTTGGTTGTATCTGTTCCTGTTATATATAGCTAATTCTACAGAGTATAGTATTAATCTTCTTGTGGATGTTCATTAGTTAGAACATCATTGGTATTATGACCTTAACTAAACTGTAGGTTTGTGATGGGATTCGAGTTGGTATCATCTTCCGTTGCATACAAATATTGTTCCAACTTGTTTTCCTATTCTATTTCACTTCCCTCGTTTTTTAAATCCAGATTTCTCTGATTATATCCAGTCGCCACAACATTGGTATTTGGAATTGCTCCTGATGTATCTGCCTCTCTTTTACTCTCTCTTCGATTTTTTGATTTAATTTTCACACTATCATTGTTCTTATGAGGCCTTTACAAGTTGATATTCAAGCATTTCTTTGAAAAGAGATTCTAGTTATGGATTTAGATAGTTGCCAAGCTTTAGCTTGAGTTGACCTAGGAATTATTTGCAAACATAGCATTGAAATAATTTACCCACTTTGGCTTTTAATTTGTTTTGTGGACAAATTGAGCTTCTTAATTACTAAGTGTTCTCAAGTTCTCCATGAATGCAAAGTTCTTGCTAGACTTGCCAACAATTGATGATCTTGCAGATTTCTGGTTTTCAATCAAAGATATGGTATTTGAACATTCATTACTACTGGGAGAGCCTAATCTATTTTGCCTTTGTGGGGATAACACTGGTTAGAGTTTAATTGAGTCATCTTTTATTGTGCTGTACTTTGCCTTGCTTTTCTTCTTAGATTTTGGCTTTTAAACCTAAATTGGAGGACTGTTCTAAATTGATTAGGGTTTCTTAGAGGTAGAGAGCTTATCAGTCTTATTTTGAGAGACCTGGAGTCTTTGTTTATTCTTCATTAAAATTTTAATAATTGATTTTAAATCTAGCAAATAAAACTTAGCACTAAAATCAAGAAATATAGGTTTGATTAATAATAAATTAATTTGATTTTAATGGGTTGTTCAGGTTCCAAACAGGCTCTCTTTAACTTGGAAACAGAGTATTCTAGGCGCTAAATTCCTTAACCAGGATCAAGTGTCTATCAAAACGATTTCGAAAAATAAGCATTTATGGTTATCAATCTCATGAGATCTGATCCAAAGAGCATGATACCTTAGATAAGATCCATTAAATAGCATAAGTTCTACAAAGGACAACCAATTCAGCCTTTAGTGGATTATCTGAACTCAATTGAACCATTACCATTGGTCACTCTAGATGAGCATGCTTGTCAAGCCTGCAGAAATAATACTGACAGAAAAATGAAAACAGATGAAGACACAGGTAAAGATCATTTTGAGAAAGGAGGAAATTAAGAGGAGTTCCAAGGAATGATAGGAAATGGTAAGGGGATTGAGACTACTGAGTGCACATAGATCGGATGGAATGGGTCTGCTCAAGATCTGATCTTCTTTTTACTAGTAGATGGATTTAAAGATTAAAAGTCACATGCAATTCTTGATCCTAAACTAATCAAGGTTGGTATTTCATTCAAGGCTCACAAAAAGCTTCATAATGTGTTCTAAATCCTTTACGTAAAGTAGATAAGCAATAATATGAACTGATAAACAAATAGAATGCATGAATCTGCTTGATGCATATTCAAAGAGTATATGTCTTAATGAATATTTATTAGTTTGAAGGAAACTGAATTATTATCAAATATTAAGTAATTTTAAAGAAATTAAGCATTACTATTTACATTTATTTCAAACATTCACTTGATTATTAGAAACAATTAGAGGAGCTTTGCAAGTGACTCAAAATATCTCACATTTCTTTTCCTTTTCATTTCCATCTACCTTATTTTTCTTGTTTCTATTACCTGATTAGCTACCACCAAACTTTTAATTATTCTTTAAGACTGCATATATTGCTTCATCGAAGACATTTTTTACGCAATCCCCAAATAGAGAACTGGTTTCAATTAATTTCACAAAGCCCTCAAAGTCAGCTAGATTTTTTGCCTGCTATAAATCAACTTTATTATTTGTATGAAAGGATTCTAAAGTATCAAGATCCTCTAGCATATCACATTTAGTAGCAACCAATACCAAAGGTATACTTTTAAGCTTGTCATCAGCTCTAATTTCTCTTAGCCATTTCTACTACACACTTTTGAAAGTTTTGTTATCCATCATGGAGAAACAGACCACAATTACCTAAGCTTTTGAGTAAGCGAATTTTCTCAAACTTTGGTGTTCATCTTTGCCACTAAGATCCCATATTTCAAGATTTGTCGGATGTCCATTATATTCTATTTCACTGAAATAGTGATCAAAGACTGTTGGCATATATTCAGCCATAAATTAATCCTATGCATATGAAAGTATCAAATTTGTTTTCCCAATTCCTGGATCTCCAACTATTACTAAATTTACAACTTCACTGTTATTTTCATCGTTGTTTCCTAGCATATCTCCTGAACTCATTTTATTTTCTTTATTATTGATGCAAATTTTTTACAAAAAATTCGTTCCTATGGGGTTTTGGGGTTTTGGGGTTTTGGGGTTTTGGGG